CACACACACACACACACACACACACACACACAGACACTCCAGAGTGTGCGCACCACCATGCATACGAGGTCGCTTGTGATGTTTCATATCTGTACAGAAGAATGGTGGAATGCAATGACTCTTCCATCAGTGATGATTCTCTTTGCAGGTCATCTCTTACTTGTAGCTTTCTAATTTTTGTCATGGTTTCCTTTTGGCATGGATGACTCTGGGCTTGGACTTACGCTCTTTAATCCCACCTGACTATGCTTGCAGGTCAGAGCTGCCTCGAAAATCAAGGCACACATGATCATCTGCTTCACATCAACAGGGATCTCTCCGAGGTAGGTAACTCCGTGAATGTTAACCTGTTTGTGCCTTCAATTGTGGAAGTTTAAAGCGCGAGTACATGCCAGCTATCAGCCGTGGGCCCCTTTCGGAGGCATCTACAGCGCTCGGCCTCCTGAATTTTCGGAGAGCGTCGAAACAGGTTCTCCAGTTGGCTGGGGTCATTTACTGGTGTGGTTTAACCGTTTAAGCCACCAGTTTCTTTTGTAGACTGGAAGGCCGAGCATTGCCAGGTGAATCACTCACCACGCTGTTGGGCAGGAATCGGCGTGTGGCGAAACTCTTGATCTGGGAAAAGAGGCTTGAATGTACTAGCTTGAATATACTAGCTTGAATGTACTAGTGATTTAATGTCAGGACTATAATTGTCATATCATAAGCGCATAATGCCCTCAGAACCGGTTCTCATCAAGGGGAGTCGGTTACTTCACATGGCTGCGGCGTCTCTCTGTGTCAGACATAGAAAAGCATCTGCAGATTGTTGTCTCTAAGACTTCCCTCATGAACTGATAAAACTTGTCAGTGAGATCTATGTGCAGCAGCTCAAGCAATAGCATTCACATATGGGCTCGTTGATGATATCGTATCTTGGAAGACATCTTCACCCCCTCCTGTGGTCTCAACTCTTGAGTGGAAAGATACTAGCGAGCAAGCTGGGTCATGTCTCTTCCTTCAGGCAAGAATCTTGGTTCGGTCAGGTGGTTCACTTTCTGTTCATGTGTTTGATAAGGCTGGGGCTTGGATTATCCCCGTCATGCACTACCCCAGTGCTTCCACTAATGCCCCAGCTTATCAGCCTGCAGGTCAGCTCATGGGACAGCTGATGAGGTTCGAGCATATTTGTAACAATGCTGCCAACTCCAAAGCTGCAGTTCATTCCTTGAGGCAATGTATGCTCGTTAAGGCCCATTCCCCCAGTGTCCTGGGCAGAGGTTGGACTGCAGCGATCGCTCAGTCGTGGCACCCGGCTTATGAACTGGTTTTGCTGCATGGTGCGCTGGTAAAGTGCTCACCCACTGTTGAATTCCAATTCTGAAACAAATGCGGCATCAGACTTCCACACAGCCACACGTAGCGAGACCCCACCCGGTCCCGAATGCCAACTCCGAGTACAGGCACCATCAGCGCTACACACAGCCACACGCAGTAGGCCTGTCCACCCCTGTTATTACCACCAGAATGGCAGCTGATAATGTGGATAGTGGCTGGAAACACAACCAGTGGCAGCAGACAACATTAATGTTGTTGAATTGGCTGCACCACCACCACCGTCATCACCACCAGCTCATTCACGTACATTTAAGTACGGCCTCTTTTCCCCGAGTGACTTCATAGAGGCTCGAAGAGCTATCGCCCAGCGCCTTCGTGGGAGCCTGGATTAGGCGCTAGCTCAACTGCCTCCCCTTCCTCATCACTGTCTTCCTCTTACTCCTGCCTCTTGTCACCCTGTTCTCATCATCATAGCATTCATGGTCAGGTCGGCTGTGTCAGAGGCCTCTTCGGCGGAGGTGCTCACCGTGTCCACTGCCACCTCGTAGGCTTTGCGTCTTTTGTACATCAACAGCATGATTACCGAACCCGCGGCAAGGGTGAGGGATCTACTTCGAGCTATGCTTGTAACCGTAAGGAATGACGCTGTCGCTCCTTATGCACACGAGCCAGGGCTTCTTCTGCGGAGGTGCTCACCGTTTCCACTGCCACCTCATATGCTTTGCGTCTTTTGTACATCAACAGCATGATTATCGCACCCCTGGCAGGGGTCAGGGATCTACTTCGCGCTAGGCTTGCAACCGTACATAATGACGCTGTCGCTCCTAATACACAGGAGCCAGGAATAGTACATACGGAGTGCGACGCCCACAATGCGGGGATGATTTTGACAGTGCCGCAGGCCTGCGTGTGCACCAGACACTCTGATTACCATCGCAGCTGATCAATCTCCGCTTCTTGCATCTGACCCGCGACTTCTAATCCACCTCGCCCTGATTGCTCCCCCACTCCAACTGACAATGATCTAGCGCCTCATCATTTGATAAAGCCCCCCCCACTGGAGATGACCTGTCAGTGGAATGCACTTGCTAGAGCCAATGGAGTTGATACAGCCAGTGTAACCATTCTGGGGAGCATCAGTTCGGTTCCTATTCCACCAGCAAGTCAGATAGTTTTCTTTGCTTGCTTTTCCTTTTCCTTTCGTTGTATTTGGTTTTTTGGTCTCCGTGTGTGTGTGTGTGTGTGTGTGTGTGCGTGTGTGTGTGTGTGTGTGTGTGTGTGAGAGAGAGAGAGAGAGAGAGAGAGAGAGAGAGAGAGAGAGAGAGAGAGAGGAACCTGACAGGGACTGTCAAGATCAGAATGAACCTCCCTGTGCTGTCCAGTCGGCAGAATCAGATGGTACTACTGCCATGCAACTGTGTGTACCATGCCGTGAATATGTCTCCTCACTGAATAGTGCAACCCCTATACGGTTTCCGATTTTACAGATGTCGTCCGCTTGAAACCCCTATACTTTGTCCGATGGATAGAAGAAGAGTACTGTGATGTCGACCCGCAGGATGACAGTACTATGGCCTGTGTGCACGAAGTACTGTCTATGGCATTTATGGGAAGACAACTCCAGCCCATTCCACGGAAGTAACTGTTGTGACGTCCTCTCTCTGTGTCAGCGCGCAAGTGGTTATGTTATTGCACAGTGGGGATGTGAGCAGCTTTCCTTAGCCATAATCAATGTGGCAAATTTTGTACACGAGAGGCAGAGAGCAAAAGTGGAAATGCAAGAAAAAATAAGAGGCGAAGCTGTTTCAGTTTTGGATCTCCTCATCTGGGTGGATTAGGGGTTTGTGTGGTTACGGTTTACCACACACACACAGGGCTCACTCAAACTGGTCCCGCCCATTCCGTAGAGGTGCCCACGGACCATAGGCAACAACTGCTGCTCAAATCTTATGCAACCCTCACTCTGACTGGTCTCATGTGCCGTTCTAGAGTGGCCTGCTGCAGCGGTCACTATTTAGAACCCTTCCAGAACTTCCACCTCCCATTTCCTTCCTCCCTCTTGTGTATTACGCGGAATAAATATGAACGAGCATCATTATGAACAGGGAAAATATAAGCATCATTACCCCCGCCTTTGCTCTGCCTTCTCTCATAGTGTGCAAGTGGGCGGTTATGGCACATTGATGTGGGCAGCTCGCGCTCTACCACAATCAACGTGGCGAGCCTTGTGCATGAGAGGCACGGTAAAGGGGGAGCTGCGAGAACAAATGAAAGGGCTACCCCGAAGAAAGCACATGTGAACGCATTCAAGAAAGAGGTTTAAATGCACCGCTATTGTACTTCATGCCGCTTGCTATTGGGGTGAAACTGTTCCATTGTTGGGTTGTCTGAGCTCGAGGGCTTTCGTTGTCTGTAATAGGATTTAAACAACCAGTACATCCAGCTATGGGCCGCGGGACCTTTTCGGAGGCTGCCTGCTGGCGATCGTATTTATCTACATCGCTGAGCCTCCGAAAATTTTGTAGGCGATGAGTTTTCTTTTCAGCAAGGCTAGGGCCGTGTACTGGCGGTTTAAACATGCTTTGATGTTGGGTCTGTCCGTCTGGGTGGAATAGAGGCTGTTGTGGTGAAAATTCAAATCACACACAAGTTCTGAGGCATGCTTTTTTTTAAGAGTATTGCGAATATGACAACACACAGACTAGTTTCTCTTACGTATGTCGCTTCCTGTTGAGGGTTTGGACCGAGAGTCTGCTAGGATTGCAGGGTTGGTGTGAGCAACGTCGACCCCTTTTTTTCAGGGGTGTGTTTACTCTGGGCGATGTGGCGAGTCCTTGTCTGTCAGTCAAATGCATCCTGGGGGCAGAATGTCAGGGGTCCTTATCTGTCAGTCAAATGCATCCTGGGGGCAGAATGTCAGGGGTCAAACTCCCAATGTGTCTGTGAAAGTCCGAAGAAAACTGTCAGGCACAGTCATGTGTCTTTTCTGGAGTCGTGTATAGCAAACATAACATCACACAGTATGACAATATATGCACACAGCCTTGCCTTCTCCATCTATTTATACCTCAAGCCCCCCGGGGAAATCTGGTGTTGATAATAATGGGTGATTTATAAAGCTGCTCAGCAACCAGTACACGACCCCAGCCTTGCTGAAACGAAAAAGTTGGGGCCGGGCCGCCGTTGATAAATTCCATCGGCGGTCTTTGTTGCGTTCCGGCCTTCGAAAGCGGCCTGCGGCTGAGGTATGGTGTGTACTCGTGGTGGTTTGAAGTGGACACGTGCACACACATTACAGCGTGCCTGCACACACCCAGATGAATTGCACACACCCAGATGAATTTAACATACTCTTTTGGGTCCTTGGACGTCGACTGACATTGGTTCACTGTGGGGAGCGAGTGAATGACTATGGCTTCCATGAGGAGCGTGGATCTTTTTCCTGGTCCTCGGTGTCGATTCCACTTGTACTAACCTAATCCCAACCTGTCATGTTTGCAATCTGGACAGGTTGACGGCATCCTTCCGGCCTAACATCCCGATTCTGACAGTGGTTCTTCCTACGCTTAGTGTTGGCAGCAATCTCAAGTGGACTGCGTCGGGAGCCATGCAGGTGAGCACTGTTTTGTGTTTCATGATGCAATCTCTCCGGTAATGAGTGTTTTTCTGTTCGTGTGCAAAATGGTTTTAATTCTCTCTCTCTGTTGGTTTTAATTCTCTTTCTGTCCGTGTGTTTCATGGCTTTAGTCCTCTCCAATCACTCGCAGGATTAGAGGGGTGTGTCCTGTGTTCTCTGGTAGGAGAGACGAGAGTCTCCTGGATGCAGCGATTGACTTGGACGTTTGTTGCTGTCGAGTCATTGCGATGTCGAAGGTTGTGGTCGGTGGGTTTCTCTGTGATCACATCTTAAGTTCTTCGTTTTGGTGCATCGTTTTTTTACCTGTGTAAGTGCAGGCTCGCCAGACACTCATAACAAGTGGGCTGATTCCTGTTTTAGCTGATCCACGGGGCGAACCGAGTCAGCAGCATCTGCAAGACGCCTTCAAGGTGGGCAAGAAGCTCGGACTTGTTCGTGTAGGCGAAAATGTCGTTGTAACGCAGAGGATGGGAAATTCTCACACGATTGCAATAGTGCAAGTTTCTTGAGTTAGTACGGTGTGACCAGGAGGAGAGAAGTGGGTGGGTGATGGACGGGACAGTCGGATCAGATGGGTAAGAAGCCAAGAAAGTCATCTGCGAAGCGGACGTAATGCATCCTTCGGTTCCAATGCGTGGGGGAGGACGGGAATAAAACTCGAGGAGGCGTGGGGAAACAAGGCATTCCTCAATCTTGCAATGCAAACAATGCGTAAGGTTTCACTGCAGGGAATCAGGGTGGGGTTTTGGGGCAGCTTTAAGGGGCAGGAATGGGAGTAAAGAGCATTTCTTTGGATGGGGTACCGTGTTTTTTTTTTTTTCTTTTTTCGCGGGGGGGAGCGGTCGCTGCACGGAAGGTAGTGGTCTGTGGATTGCAACGTGACGAAGAACTGAGGGTTTAGGCGAAGCCGTTCAAATCCCCTCGGCAAGCACTGAAGGATCCATTGTAGTTCCAAGAAGAGGCCTATTCGACCCGGTTCAGATGCTTTAGAATGAATTTTGTAAGGGGGGGGGGGGGGGGGGGGGGGGGGGGGGGAGGGT